GCCAGGGGTGAGGCGGTGGTGACTCTGCTTCAATGCCATATGAGCTGGCAGCTTGTCACAACTCAACCCATCACACAAACGCAGACACAGACACATTCCCATTATCCTACACATCAGATCAGACCCGCTTCTGCAGCCCTTACACGTTACCAGCACAAGGGTGATAAACACATCAGAATCAACCAGCATTCCTTGTCCACACCAAGCACCATCATCAGGCCAATGATAATCAGTTACACGCTCTCTAAAATGCTTGTTACAGCAATATTCATCATAATCGACTTGATCTTTTCTCTTACAATCAGTCAGAACCATCTATTCCTCATTCTGTCTCTCTATTCATCCATCTATCTATCCGTCGATACATCTATCGATCCGTCTATCAATCTTCCATCCATCCATCCATCTCTGTCTATCTGGCCATCTGTCCATCCGTCTATTCATCAGTCTATCCATCCAGCTATCTGGCTTATAAACCTTTGAGTCAAGATTCATTGTTTGACTGGACCAACTTTGCGCTTTTCTAGTTAAAATTATGGTTTTATACTTTTCTCTTTTTTAAATTCAGTTTCATTTTTTGTTATCTCAGTTGAAATTCATGAATTGAATTGAAAAAAAGGAATTCTCAGTTTAGTTTTGAATGGAGCACAACCCTGGTTAACAGACTGAGCCTTTATGCATGCATTTTCCTTGTCTTTCCTATGAATATTTAAGCAGATTAAAGACAGGTTGGTAAAAATAGCTGAATATGATTATTTTGTGGGCACATGGTTAAAGGAGGAACAAAAAAATCTCCCCTTTTACCAGGAAAATGAGTCTGAATTGATTATTTCATCTCTTTAAGTACATACATTTTTAAATCGCATTTGAAGGATAAATTGAAATATTGGATATATACAAATGACAAATCATTTCAAGAAAACAACCATCTGAAACAGTGAGATGATTGTAACCAGTGTACAAAACCAATCTGTTTATGTCACTGAAGCTTTTTCTTGTAAAATGACCACACTATAGAAAACCGTTTGGAACCTAGTGCAGTTTTTTCACTTCATTCTCAGGCTTTTGGACCCCGCTGTACTGTATCATTCTGATATAGTGAAGAAACATTTTGGAAATTCAGTACAGTTGATCTCAGAACTGCTATTGTTCAACATACTGACTGTCTCATGTACTGAACACCAACAACATGACCTTTAGGTCATCTCAAGCTTATCCATCTCTCTTCATCACAAACAAATAACAACACCTTTTCTACAATGTTGGCACACAAATGCAAGTGTTCTACCTCCTAAATAATAGATTGCATTATGTAAATGATATCTGAACAGTTCTGAGAGAGTTATCAAATTCAGTCAGAAATATTCCAGAACATGCGCACAGACTTTTGACAGCGCATGAAGAGATTGCAAAGGCAGAGGAGAAAGAGGAGGAGAAGAGGAGGAGGAGGATGAATAAAAAATGAAACAAAGAGAGGGGCAACATGTGGAAAGCAGATCTGATCTGGCGACATGTATATATTTCGCATTCGGCAAACAAACAAAAGGCTGGTAAATAGCAGGAGAGGAAATGCGTGGTTATCCGATGCCGCCGCTCTGCGCTCAGCCCGCACCTCCCGGCTAGGGTTTCCCTGGCAGACAAAGAGCCACCAGCGCATTCTGCCGGCCTGCCCATAAAAAGCTGCACTGAAAAAGCCAACACCTCTTCCCTTCGGGGGCTCCACAAAACACTTTTGTTAGTCGATATTAAAACATGTTGCAATATCAGCCCTTGTCTCACAAAGGAAACTTTATCACATGCACAATGAGGTTGCTAGTTGGCTGGTTTTTAATATAGGGGCTAAGCACATCATCGGGGGAGAGGGTTGGTAAATTTGTTACTGTATGGTTAGTTGGAGTTAACTTAGAAGAAGCTCAGCTTTTATGGGACTGATAAAGGAACCATTCACCCAAAACTAAAATTCTGTCATTATTTGCTCACCCTCATGGCGTTCCAAAACTACAATTTCTTCTGTGGAACACATAAAGTATTTTAAAAGTCACTGGGGTTCAAATAACACTGGACCCCACTGACATTCATAGTATGGACAAAAATCAATCAATCAATCAATCAATCAATCAGCTAGTTACCAAAGATTAGTTAGAAAGATTTCTCATTTTAAAATAAGTCAAACTGGAATAATAATAATAATAATAATAAAACTACACATACATATTCAAAAACTAATAAAAATGACAAAAACAACTAAATTACTTACATTTTAACTAAATTAAAATAATCATGGAAAATATAAAAATAAAAACTAATTTAAAATATTAATAAAAACTGTAATAGTATCTCGATGAAACTAAAATAACACTGGTCACAAAATGTAAGGATCCAGAACGGTCATGTTTCAAGTTAAAAATATTGTGCAAGGTTTGGATGAGACTGTACAGTCTCTGGACTCACTCACTCAGCTGGACAACTCCTCCCAATTTCTCGGACCCAGTCAGGGGTCTGTCTCCAATCGACACCACGAGACAAACTGTCCCTTTACTTCTCACTCTACACTGTGCCCTTTCTTCTCTTCTCAGCTTATTTCCCAAAGACCTGAGGCTCTAATGCGTCTTTCTACTCCCAGAAAATGGAAACTTAATGCCTGGGAAAAGTGCAAGAAACAACTTGAGGTCTGTTTCATGTCATACCTATTGTTTGTTGCTGTTAGGTAAGACAAGTCAATTTACTACAGCTTTGCTACCTTAAAAACAACTGATGGTCACTTTCAGCCGTCTGTAGATGGGAATCCTGGCCGCATTTCTTGCTCAAAGCTAATTGTAGGTTAACTTGCTATTTGACTGTGGTCTGAGGAGAAAACGGCAAATAACACCCTGTATGCAGATAACAACTGAAAAAACTGTAGGCAGTAATTAGTGAAATAACGGATTCTGACCACAATACCATAATCAGGTACAGATGGATTTGACAGACGTTTTTACATATATTTTCACAAGTATTTTCTCAGAATGGACCCTTTTCACATTTATAGGGTCCTCAGAAGCAGAAGTGGTCGTAGTTGGGCAAACTTCATTAGTGGTGAATGGAAACTACAACAAATGTTTTTTTTGCATTCCCAATTGCTCCACTAGTTTAAAAAAAGTGACTTTACAAAAGAGGGAAAAAATATCAAGAGATTACATTGGTCAAAGGAGACAAAGATGTCAAATTTGCTGTCACTCCCTCAGCTATTGTATTAGAAACACTCACACAGCAGCATTAACTAGTTTTCTGTAATTTAATGCCATAGTAATATACCAAAGTATAGTGCTCTAAATGTACATTACTTTAAAAAACATTTATATATATATACAGTATATATATATATATATATATATATATATATGTGCATCTCTA